CAGTTTAGGTGCTGTTAGAACATTCGCGATCTTTCAGGAACGAATTATTGATCCAAATACTTTATCAATGCACTGTTGTGCTTAGGGCGGAAAGAATCGATTGCGTGCAAAAAACTCACATGTGAAATTTTGATTTTTTGCCGAAATTTTTCTAAGGGGAGGATTCGATTTTTTGAAAAAATATGAAATTCTCAAAATACGTACCTTTAAAATCGACATCATTGTGATCTCAAAGCAGCAAGGGATGCAACGAACTAGTCGAAAATACGCCATAAGTTTCAGTTTCGAAATAATCGATATTTTCGATACATTTTAAGCTGCTGTTAGAGCATTCGCGATCTTTCAGCGACGATTTCTTCCTTACCATTGATCCAAACACTTTATCAATGCACTTCTTAAGGCGAAAGAAATCCATTAAGCCCAAAAAACACGCATGTCAAATTTGGATTTTTTTTGTCCAAAAAGTGGAGGTCGATGTTTTGAAAAAATAAATTTTCTTCTTAAATACTAGTTTTCTCGAGTTTTCGTTGAAGCGAAATTAAGTCGCAATTTTGTTTGCGTTGATTTGTAATTTGGTACTACATACTTTCGTTTTCGTGCCGGATAAATACGGAAAAATGTTGTTAAAGCGTTTGTGTCTTTCACATGTTTCATAAACCGTATTATAACCAAATTATATTGCTTATAATTAGACATATACATACATAATTCGACATATTTTGGTTAAAAAAACATGGCAACTTTCGTTCCTAAACCGCGAGCTTTCAATACTTCGCCATGCTCTTAGCGTGGACAAATTAAAACTCTGGCACCGGATATTGAAAACTTTGTGCTTTTAAAACCAAGGAACTAATAATAAGTTGTAGATGTAGCACATTAGAACTAATTACTAAATCTCCAAGTGTCCTGCCAATTGCACTGTGTACTGAATAAATAATTAGCATTTGGCACTGGGCTGAGCCTCTTTTTCGATTCGAAATACCTATATGAATGGAAACTTATTTATGTAATTTTTAATTAGCAATTCCTAGTATTTTTTTAATGCCTTTGAGGTCAACAAACTCGGTTTCCACATCAAGAACATTAATTTTAAATTGTTCCAAATTATCTGACATGAAATATCCAAGAAATGCTTGATGTTGCCACGCAATTTCACATAAAGTAAATTTGCCTTTTAGGCAATTTAATGCATTTTGATATAGGAGTATGACTGATAGCAAATATTTACCAGTTTTGTAAGTCAGAGCGGGACACAGATCAGTTGTTTGGATCTTGAAAATCTCGGGTTTTGTTTATTTTGGGAGCCAAATGCCTTTACTTTAAATCACATTTTTAAAAATAACCGGGAAATTGAAGGCCAAGCTTTCACGACACCGAGACTGGTTGACGCACTTAAAGTACGCCAAAATCCACTTCTTATTTTGGCAAAACCATTTTTATTATAGTAGACGTTTTATGGTTTCTATTGATTTTTTTCGAAGTTCTGAAAATTTTTTAAAGCGTTTAAATTTTCTATTGAGAGAGCGTTTTATATCACGATCGAATCGACGTTCCTATTTTTTAGTACTATTTAATTTTTATTTGTATTTAATTTCAATAAGACCAAATTCGGATGTTTAAACTATAAAAAGAAGAATAAAAAAAAACTAATGTTGAACTTATTCAGGCAAATCATGAACAGTTTTTACATTTTTAAATTTGTTGTCAAACAAAAACCATTTAAATTTTAGGTGCATAATAATTTATTGCGTCCATTGCTGTTAACTAATTTCATGTTTCTTATCTTTACTGCTTGTATGCAACAATATATATCTTTTTAATGTAAATTTAAATTGTGATTATGTATTTATGTAATTTGGTCATTTGTATGTAGGTTTTTATTTGTATGTTGGTTTTGTATGTAGGTTTTGTCGGTACCTTTCCTTTTTACAGGATTCTTTTGTTATACTTTTTAATGCTTTTGTAATAGAGGATTATAATATTGAAGGTTTTTTAATTTTGGTTATTTCCTTCTTGTAACTTTTTGAATTTCAATTTTCGCGTGCTCGCAGTTTTCTGTTGGCTGAAGGGTTTGTCAGTTGCTCTTAACCAAAACAAGAGCAATTCGATAATAAATTAAGTACTAGTAAAATAATAATAAATAATACTAATAAAAGTAGATAAAAACGATAAGTGCAAATATGGAAACATTATTCAAAACTTGAAGCTTCTTGCAGTTCTTTAGGTGGCACAAAGCAACAAAATCCCTTTTCAGCGACAATTTCCTTTCTTCCTTGTATTTCTTTTTAATGACTTATGAATAATGATTATCGCGTACCAAAAATAGAAGGAACTAAATTAATAACTGTGGTTGGATCACGAACACAAGTGAACACTAATTGAAAGGTTAATACTAATGATTTTTATTTTAACATAATTATACAGTAATTACCGGTCATTTTCCGGCATTGAGGATTTCTGTAATTACGAGAAATAAATTATAAAAATCCCTGTCGATTGTAGTTTGATGATAAAATTTAAAAAACTGCACTTCAGATAATTTAGTATGAGTTTACCACTACCTAACTTAAACCAGTACTTTTTCACGCCCATGGATTTAGATCGATAAAGAACAGATTTGGATAGTGTTGTTTTCAGGCTAAACCAAGCGATGAGAGCTCATAAACTCGAAATCGGCCCTGGGAGTGTCTCAGATTAGCTGTAATTAGATAAAGCTGTACTTCAATTATTCTCAGCCTCTGTACAAGGAGCTGAAATTATTATAGAATTTTTGGACCCGTAAATTTTCCAGTAAAGAGCTGCCTTAAAGGCCAGTTTTATTTGCACGAAAAAACAGGAAAAATTGGGGCTACAGCCCCAAGTTATGCAGTAAACGCGTGAATAACTTATTTGAGCTGATATTTGCTATATAAAAATAAATATATCGAATGTGAAAATGTAACTTTGATCGTTTTCATGGAAAATATCACAGGTTTAAGACGCTTTAAATATTTGTGAGATTTACAGTTGATTTTGAAGAATCATCCGGTATATTAATAAATTGAAGTGTCCAATGATAACAGAACAAGATAAGATTAAAATGGCATGCATTGAAAACAAAACGAACAGCAAGTTCCTGTTTTAACTTTGCTTCTGTTTGAAAACGGTAATTTGGCCTGTTGCTCTGATACAGTAGATTCCGAAAATCGCGTATTGTGATTTAATTCAATGTTGAGTTTATCTCATTTCCACAAAGCGTTTTACTGGGAGAGGTGGTTGATAACGACTTTTACAATCATGAGTAACTTTATTGCGGATGCAATGACAAAATCGCGTAAATGAACAATCGACTTTTCCGCAGTTTAGTGTTGATAAATTACAAAACCCAAGATGCAAAGTGTAGTGCTACTAAGATCTCATCCAACTCGGGAATTTAAATTCAATCTTAAAAATGACGATTGTTATAAACGGGCGAGGCGTGTCAAAGGTAGGTGTGTATTTATATAGGTACTCGTACATATGTACAAAGCGAGCCAAAAAAATCCATAAGATTTATAATAAAAACAGCATGCTGAGCTGCATCTTTAGTAACTTTCAAAGTCAAATTAAACGGATTTTTGTAAATTAATAATAATTAAAATGTATTATTAAAGTTAGTTTATTGAATCCCAACACACTTTATTGAGTCCCCACTTATTGAAAGATTTACAATCGCCTTAAATATGACGCATAGGTACCACACTCTTGAATTATTTATTCTTGTAAATCGAGAGCTCTTAAAATTCTTTTGAATTATTCTTGTATTATTAGACTTTGATTTTTTGCTGTCTCAAATATTATCTCTAGTTTAATTTTCTATTCAAATGAATTTTTCCAATTATATCCATTGAGCCAAAACCAAGCTTTAGATGTTCTTCTTCTGTGCAACGTTCTCTTCAACTATCAAAATGTAAATGCACTTGGCAGGAAAAACGCCTTTAAACATGCATTTTTCAGAAAGCCTAATATTTACTGAAAAAATATTAGCATCTTAAAAGTACGCCCAACTACAAAAAGGAAAATCAAGTAAATAATTCCCCCAAAAAATGAAATATTTGCAACAGACTAAATTAGAATTGATGCAACAATGTATTTGGTCGCACTAATTAGTTCTGACAAATTTTATGTTGCTCAAAGCAATATTTTTCAGCAAAATTCAAACTTTTAGTCGAACAAGTCGTAACGTAACGTTGGAACGTAGAAAATTTCACGCAGATCGTCCCCCAGTGGACTGACTTGAAGAATTTCTCACGTCAAGATTAGGACGAGTTGAGACTTGTTTCTTGGACAGTTTAAAAAAGAAACTTGATTGTTAGAACGTAGCAAATTTCAAGCAGATCGTCCCCCAGTGGAATTTTTGAAAAATTTGCAAACCTTTTGTTGATACGAAATGATACTTTCTAGCAGACTGACTTCAAGAATTGCTCACGTCAAGATTAGGACTAGTTGGGACTTGTTTCTTGGACAGTTTAAAAAAGAAACTTGACTCTGAGAAAGATGCAATTTTCAAGCAGATCGAGCTCCAGTAGTTTTTTGATGAGTTAACAAACCTTCATTTGATACAAAATAAAGCTTTCTAGCAGACTGAATTCGAGAAGCTCCCACGTCCAGATTAGGACGCGAAAAAACTTGTTTCTTGGACAGCTAATAAAAAGAAACTTGATTGTTAGAACGTAGAAAATTTCAAGCAGATCGTCCAACAGTGGAATTTTTGAAAAATTTGTAAACCATTTGTAGATACGAAATGAAGCTTTCTAGCAGACTGACTTGAATAATTTCTCACGTCAAGATTAGACGACTTGGAACTTGTTTTTTGGGCAATTTAGAAGAGGGCACACTGTGTGCATGTTCGCCATTGTTAAACATTTTAAGATTTGAAGAGCTTAATAAAAATTGAAGATATTTTAGAGTAAAAGAAACATTTACCCGAAGAACTTACAACGAATTAAACGTTCATAAAAGCCGTTTTCATTTGGTTCCAGTTTTGACCAAATACGGCGCAGTGACGCGTTTTCAACATCAAAGTAAGCCCTAGATCATAAATTATGCATTAGAGAAAGCAAATCAGCGGCAGAAAGCAAATCAAATTGTTAAAAATGCACAAAAAGGAAACGTTGAACCTAAAACTAAAATTCGCAATACTCCAAATACATGTAACCGTTAATTTTTTTAGATAAAACATCTTCTAACTACTACTGAGAGTCGAAGCAATGTAAAATTTGGCGCCAGTCTAATATATTTTCGTCTGAAACGACGAATGGGTTGGGTTTTGTGCATTTTCTTTTGCGTCTATTTTTACAAGCCTGTCCAAATCTTGGCAACTTTCCCTTCAGCGGTTTTTGATGTTTACCAAAGAATCATTGTGTCATGCATATGGAGCGTTACTTAAACTGGTAAGTCACCATCAGTTTGTATCAATTAAGCTGTGGTCCAGAATATTTTCATAAACTGTCTGTGTGCAGTTTCACTATTTTTTTTAGTTTTACCTTTATGCAACTAGTTCATTTGTCATCAGTGAGGACATTTTTAGTAACTAAAATTTGGCTTCATCGTTAAAAAACTAACCGTCTGCTCGAGCCTATAAACGTTAGAATGATAATTTCCACCCACTTTCATCTATACATATAGGATATGATGTTTATTAAAGCGGTTCCAACGTTAATCATGCAATTTAGTCTGGCAGCAATTGGATCGTAATGACATCATTCAGGCAACGGCCAGTACCACATTAAAGTTCACTTAACTGGCATTTTTAAATTAGTCAGTATAATGGGCGTTTTTTTTCATATACCGGGTGGATAACTGAGACTTTTTGCTTCCAGGTAGAGGCATGAGTGAGTTAGGGGTAATGCGTGCCAGTCCTGACTCCGACTGCAACAGCAACCTAAGAGGCTCCTATCTCAGCACCACTTCTTCACAGGATGTCGACTTTGTGCAGGACAATTCCGACTATCAATGGTTTTTAGATTATGGGTAAAAATACTCGTACTTTAAACCCATAAAAATATTGCTACTGTTTGTCTCGGTTTCTTCATGTAGATACAGAGATGGGGGCACAAACCATCACACCAGCATCCTCTCTCTTCCAGAAACCTACGAGGCAGGTGATAACTATTATGACGCTCTGGCTAAGAATATGGACGCAAATCTGGCCGAAGCTGACATGGAGAGCTTCAAAACCGAAGATATCCATGCGCTGCTCACTAATCTACCCCCAATGTGTACTGACCAACTCAGCCAAGAAGTAAGTTTGAAACATCGGTTTTCCCATTGATGAATAACACTTCACGGATATTTGCAAATTGCAAGTTTCTAATCCATGAATCCGTCCGAATGAGGTTTTATGAATGCGAATTTTTCACTTCACGTAATATATTTTGCGTTGTTATTCCTCGAGGATGGCCAACAACTTCGGCAATAGGACGTGACTGAAATCTATAGGTTTGTGTGATTTTACTTTCAGACGCCACCCAGGGAACGGTTGTATGTTTAATGTATTTTGAACGCTCTGCATATGAAACCGCATTGTATGCATATCAGCTCGATTTTTTTAAATGTTTCCAATTTTACATTTGTTCGTGCTGGAAAATGCTCGGCATGAAGGCGTCGGTTCTTTGTTAGATTGATTCAGAGTCGGATAAAATTGTTTTTTTACCGAACGTTTCGCTTTTATCTTCCGCATTCATTTTCAAAGCGAACAATGATTAGCATTAAAAAAATCATCGTTGGCGAAAATTGTGTTATTTTGTTTCCCATTTTTTTGTTACGAATCCTAAATTCACTTCTTTTCCATTTACATCCAACGTGTTAACAATGTATTTTGTTCTTGTTATTGTTATTAAATCATTTGCAATTTTTCCGTCCGGAAAACATTTGCACACTGAGTTGTCAATTAATTGTAAAATATTTCTCGGATTGTTTTAACTTTTTAAATGATTGCATTTTGTTGACATTTGTATTGTATCAGTTTTTCTAGTTTATAGTTTCCTCAATTTTTATGGTTTTCATTGTTTCATCTTTGGTTCACTCTTAAATTGAATTTATGGCATTTTCAAGTGTCTTCGTTCTTGCGGAGTTTCGAAATTCTGATTCATGTTCTTTCCGCAATTTTTCCCATTTTTAATATTTTCGTATTTATTGCTTCATGATTGTTATTGTTATTTGATTATGGAATTTACGTTATACATTTTTGAATCATTACTTGTCATTTTGACTGAGTTCCATAATTATTTTTTTATGTTTTCGATCTTTTCGCTTTGTTATATATATATATAATCTTTATTTCCTACAGAAAAAGGCTATCGACCCAATCGGTCTTTCAGCAGTTTCACAATTCTTCATATTCGTGCTATTTGCTTAATTTTTCAAGTTTGCGCTCTGTTTACTTTGGTATTTTTAGTTGATTCTTGAATTTAATTTATGGGTCTTTGCAGTGTTCATTTTCGTTCATGCGGCGTTTCAGAATTCTTCTGTTTCATGTTCTTTCCGTATTTTTTCTTGTTCTTAATCTTTTCACATTCAATGCTCCAGTTTTGTTATTGTTGTTAATTATCAAATTTGCGTTATGCATTTTTGAATCATAATTTGTCGTTCTGACTAAGTTTTATAATTCTTCTTGTTCGTGCTGTTTGTTTAAAATTTTTTCGCTCTTTTCGTATTGGTATTCTAAGTCGATTGTTGAATTGAATTTACGGGTTTTTGAAGTATTGATTTTCGTTAATCTTGCGGAGTTTAAATTTTCTTTTTCTTGTTCTTTTCGTAATTTTCTTGTTTTTAATATTTTCACATTCAATGCTTCATTTTTGTTTTTATTAGTTGATTATGAAATTTTTATCAAAATAGATAGGCTTTCGTTCAAAAGAGATAGGCTTTCGTTCAAATAGACTTTTGTTATGCATTTTTGAATCATTCGTTGTCGTTCTGGCTGAGTTTCAAATTTCTTCTTATTCGTGCTGTTTGCTTAATTTTTCATGTTTTCGCTCTTTTCACATTGGTATTCTTAGTTGATTCTTCAATTGAATTTATGAGTTTTTGACGTGTTTGTTTTCGTTCTTGTCGAATTTCAGAATTCTTCTAATTCTAATTATTTTTGTAATTTTTCTTGTTCTTAATCTTTTCACATTCAGTGATTCATTTTTGTTATTGTTAGTTGATTATGAAATTTGCGTTATGCATTTTTGAATCATTCGTTGTCGTTCCGACTGAGTTTCACAATTCTTCTTATTCGTGCTATTTGATTAATTTTTCATCTTTTCACTTTTTTTACTTTGGTATTTTTAGTTGATTCTTAAATTGAATTTATGGGTTTTTCAAGTGTTCATTTTCGTTATTCTTTCCGCATTTTTTCTTATTTTTAATATGTTCATATTAAATGCTCCATTTTTGTTATTGTTATTTGATTATAAAATTTTCAAATTTTTGAATAATTTGTTGTTGTTCTGACTAAGTTTCCTAGTTCTTCTTATTCGTGCTGTTTGTTTAAATTTTTCATGTTTTCGCTCTTTTCGTATTAGTTTTCTTCGTTGACTCTTTTATTGAATTTATGGGTTTTTCAAGTAATTAGTTTCGTTCTTGTTCAGTTTAATAATTTTTCTTACGTACGTTATACTTACATTACTCTTATTCGTTTTGTTTGCTTATTTTTTCATGTTTTGGCGTTTTTGGCATTCAGTGGTTCATTTTTGGTGTTCGTATTTAATTTTCAAATTGAATTGATGAAATTTTTCATGTATTTGTTTTCGTGGTTGCTGTATTTCAGAATTCTTCATGTTCCTGTTATTCAGTTGAATTTATTTCGGTTGTCGCAGTGAGTGTTATGTTTCTTATTGCAGTGTGAATTACTTCATTCCATTTTTTTAAATATTTGCTCTCCTGCTGGTTTCATTCATTTTTTGCCTATTGATTTTAAAGTATTGCAATATTAGTTCTTGTTATTGTTTGAGTGTAAAATTTCTTCCAGTCAAGTCCGATTTATTCTGTTAATCTTTACCAGTATTTTATTTCTTTTTTGCTCTTTTGATTGCCTATCTCTTTGCGCAGATCTGTATTATCTTTCAGTTTTTTTGCTGTTTTTAATGCTTTTTTCTCTGGTTTTAAGTTCTATTTCGTCAACTGATCCTGGTTAGTACGGCCATCTTCCTAATCATTTCCTTTATTTATTCATTGATTTTATTATAATTTTATTATTTCGGTTCTTTTAGCTATTGTTACATTTTTTATTGTTATTTGGATTACTCCATTAGCTTTTTTACATTTGATCTCCTGTTGGTTTCAATTACAGTTTTCCGTACTTCATCTTCTCTTTGGAACTTTTATGCATATCATCGTAATATTCTAGTATCTTTGCAATATTAGTTTTTGTTATTGTTTAGGTTTAAAACGTCTTCCAGTCAAGTCGATTTATTATGTTAATCTTTGCCAGTGTTTTAATTATTTTTTGCTCTTTTGATTGCCTATTTCGTTGCGCAGGTCTGTATTATCTTTCAGTTTTTTTGCTGTTTTTAATGCTTTTTTCTCTGGTTTTAAGTTCTATTTCGTCAACTGATCCTGGTTAGTACGGCCAGATTTTTAATTATCTTTTTTCTTTCGATGATCGATTTCATTTTTTCTAAACTTCAATTTGTCTTCAATATTTTACTGCTCTTCTTAATCTATTACATTATTTTTCAATTAATGTTTAATGTTGTTTGTGGCTTTTAAAGTATCATTTTAGTTATCGTTGTTTCTTGTTCTCGAGTGCCTTCTGGTTTAGTTTATTCTATTAATGTTTGCCACAATTTTAATTTTGTTCCAGTTTTTCAGGCTGATTTCCATTGCTTCTGGGTTATTGGAGTTTTAGCTCGTATTCTTGCTGAACATACGGATTTTGCGTCAGATTTATTCGACTGATCGTGCCAATTTTTATTTTGATCACTTCATTCTTTGTGCTCTTATTATTTAGTTATTGTTAATATTCATTGACTTGCTTTTAAATTTTTTCATATCAAGATTTTTTTATTTCTATCAATTTATTGCAGTATTGCTTTCTGCTTTCAGTTCAATTGAGTATTTTCAGGTTGTTTATATTTATTGTTCAATTTAATTTTCGCTGTTAAATTTTTTTCGTTAAACTAGTTGATTTTTCTGCAACTTTTCCCGTTTTCACCTACAGTAAGGTTTTCTTTAGATGATAAATTCCACATTAATAACTGTCCAAAATTTCACATTTTCTTCAATATTTAATCCTTTGCTTCACTAAACGAATGCTTAAAATTAGTAGTTGAAGTCGGAAGAACGTTCCAGAACTTTTATAAAATGTGATTATTTGTATAAAACTGCGTTTGTTCTAATTATTTCTTTATTTCAGACCCAGAGGCAAGGTGAATCGTTCGCGGAAGTATCCGGTTCCTTGATGGGAAAATTCGATTTAGACAGCTACATTAGTCCGCACAGTAGTTCACAGGTAATATGAATAAAGATAACACAATTAAACAAATGCAAAAAAATCCAGAGTTGAATAAAATAAATGTAAAAAGTATATTTAGGTGAGCAAATGAAAAAGCAAAAGATTGCAAGGTTGGTTCTGAGGGTGCTTGATCGTGTCCAAACATAAGTAAAACTGAAAAGGTTTCAACAAGAGAATTTTTCATTAACAAAATGTTCATTTTATACACGAAATTTAACAACGAAAAGAAGCTTTATGTAACATCAGGTGGCATGCGAAGTTTATTTGCGAACGATTCAAATTTAGAACTCGATAAATGTAATGTCTTAATGCTTAATGTAATAAAGAAAGTGGGACGCAGCTGCGATATCATGGCACTGTTAAGGGGGAATTGTATGCTGTAAATATTCATGCATTGAGAATATCTAAGCGAGAAACTTTTCAGGAGTCAAGAAGGCCCCAATTTTGGAATTTCCAGTGCTCATTTTCTTATATCCATCTAAAAGGCCTTTGTCGCTTTGCTCATTTCTCATCTCGTCTGTTATGTACAATACTTTTCTGAATTTATTAGAATTAGATTTTTCAACTACTTTTGGAACAAATTGGAAAAAAAATTAAACTTTTGTTG